GGATTAGGGGTTGAGGGGTTGAGGGTTTAGGGGTTTAGGGTTTCGGGGTTTAGGGGTTTAGGGGTTTAGGGGTTTAGGGTTTGGGGGTTTAGGGTTTAGGGCTTAGGGGGAATATTCCTTAAATTATAGGGGCCCTAATATTATGGTTTAAGGTATATTCCTTGATAAAGGGGTATTGGGCTCTCTAGGTCCAGAGCGGCGTAGCATCGGGAGGAGGCCTTCGTCCGCAAACCGAAACCGTGCATTATGGGCGCCTGAAGCGGAATCCTCCGCGCGGAGGCCAAGGCCCAAGAACGTCAGACCCTCATGTAGGGGCCTTAATAATTAGAATAGGCTTTGGGGGGCTCCTTATTATAATTATAATATCCCCTGGTTCGGGAGGTTTTGGGCCTCCGTGAATCGGAACAAGTCCAAAATGCCATGGACGGAGAAATCATGGCAGGGCCGCTGCTGACGCTCGATGGCCAAGCGAACGTGATGATAGTAGATGATGTACCTGGACGCCATGTGATCCAACACCTTGCTAAGGCAGCACCGTGTTTAGGCAGTTTAGGCCTAATGCCTGAGGGCTGCCGGGCAAGGGGTCTGTAGATGTCGCTAGGCTCCACGCTGGCGGTTGAATTTTAGCGGGCCAAGATTTAGGAGTGAACGCTCCTCTGCCCTCCCTCTTCCCTGGCGGGTGCAGCTTGTAAAACATCACCTTCTGCTCGTTGGAGAGCCATGTCCAGTCCTGCTGGCTGCTGCTGTGCTAATCTTTGCTGTGTTGGCGGTGGGCGGGAGCACTTAGGCCTGTGAGATTATTGATGCTTCGAAGGATTTTACTTCGAAGTCACAGCAAGTTCGCCAGGTTCCGATCTCTATGATACATAGCAGGTACCAACCCAGAGAGCCAAATACCCCTTAAGTAGGGAATATACCTGCAATCATATTAAGGCCCCTATAACTTAAGGTATATTCCTTATTTAAGGGGTATTGGGCTCTCTGGGAACAACAAACTTGATAGGGCAACACCACAAAGACCAAGACCCGTCAGCCTCAAGCTTCTTAGCTGCGGTGGCGTAGAATCAAAATTGCCCAAGGACTCGAAACTGCCATATCACGCCACTCACCAGCCTTCTTCCGTCTCTAACTCGGGTTCTCAAAGCCCTAGGGCCGGGGATTGCATGTTGAATGTGAGGTTGAAGCATGTGCATCATGATGATGGTACCTTTGAGGATGATAGTTATATGAGTTATATGAACTATCATCGTTCTCTTAAAGAGCTAACCCAGAGACTCCAATACCCCTTAATTCAGGAGTATGCCTTAAATCATAAGTGGGACCCTACTATATTTTAAGGTATATTCCTTAATTAAGGGGTATTGGGCTCTCTGGGTTCGTTATGGAGCCCTAAACCCAAAACCCTAAACCTTAAACCCTAAACCCTAAACCCTGGTCTCTTGGAGAGCTAAGGGGATGACCTCCAGCTTTCGCAAGAACTATCATCGTTCTCTCGGAGAGCCCTAAACCCTAAACCCTAAATCCTAAACCCTAAACCCTAAACCGTACCTCCAGCTTTCGCAGGAACTTCCAGTAGATTTTCTCGCTGTCGGACCGGAGGCCTCACATTGGGAATCCGCTCCCGTGCGCTACTTGGAGGATCATGGTTGATAGGGTTTAGGGGTTTAGGGTTGATAGGGTTTAGGGGTTTAGGGGTTTAGGGTTTAGGGTTTAGGGTTCAGGGTTTAGGGTTTAGGTTTGGATGATGGTTGATACTTGGAGGATCATGGGACTTAGTAGCTAACCCTTAAAAGGCTCCTCTAAGGGATCTGTAAAGGTTCTGTAAGGGTTTAGGGTTTAGGATTTCGGGTGACTAGGGTTATAAAGAAGGTGGCTATAATTATGGCCCCAATTAGGGTACTTATAACCTTACTTACTAAGTCCCATGATCCTCCAATTAAGCCACTCACGCCTTTTAGGCAGACTCAGAGTTTAGGGTTTTGGGTTTGGGGGTTTAGGGTTTGGGGCTGAGATCGAATCACGACGGAAACCCGCAACAACTTTTGATTCGATGGTGTTTCACTGCTTCACGTCTATGGTAAGGGTAGGTAGATCCAACCGCCTCCGATCCACTAAGGGGGTGCTACTGGACATCTTGCCTTAGTCCCGTGCAAAACAGGCAAAGGGCCCTCCCGACATACACTAATCCCTCACATACCCTAACCCCCAGGTACCTACTATATAGGGTACTAGAGCCCCTAGGGCCCTGTATAGTAGGTAGGTTCACCCGCCTCTTTCGAAAAACACCCAAAAAGCCCGATACCCCTTAATTAAGGAATATACCTTAAACCATAATATTAAGGCCCCTATGATTTAAGGTCTATTCCTTATTTAAGGGGTCCCTTGGGCTCTCTGGGAACCTACTAAGTTTGAACTTCCCCCCAGACAGGCGGCTCTCCGCAAGGCCCATGAGGTGGACCAGGCTGTCCTTCTCACCATCTTGAAAGCTATATGTATAAATAAATAGATACATATATAATAATATATATAATAATATATAATAATATAATATATATATATATATACTAGACAC